ATGTATCAGAATTCCTTTCCTTCTTGCAGTCCACCAGAATCTAGCTCCTTCGAGAGGCATTACGTATGAGTGGGTTGATGCCATGTGTAGACAGACATAGAGGCTCACTGCAGTATGCCCCTCAGCCTTCAGGCTGACAGTAACATACTCTGGGGATTAGGCTTTTGCTTAGCTTGCAGGCTGCCTCAGTTTCCCCAAAGGCTATATCTTCTTGTGGGCCTCAGTGCATATGTCATCTCCCTCTACCCTGGGCCAGCCCAATAAAAGAAGACCTCAGCCGGGTGCCAGGTGTGTGTGAGTCATCGGAATCCAGGCGTCAAGTTATGTGTGGATGAAGGCAGATGGAGGGGTTATTTTTTATTTTTTGCTCTGTTGCACTGAAGTCACATTTTCCTACCCTCTGATCCAAGCTCTAAAAGCATTTTGTGGTATAAAATCTGCCACCATCTGACCCACTCTACCAAAATAAAGCATCTTCTCTGCCGTCATTCTCCCTGAAAAGTGCCCTTGCGTCATGCGCTGGGGCTGGTGGGGAGAGGCTTGTTTAAAAACACTTCATCATAATCCCCACAGCGTCCCCGATCCTCTTAGCTCCCTGGGGGGGGCCCGCTGGGGTTTCTCAGGCTGTTATTACTGGAATGCCAGCTGCTCTACTTACAGGCCATCCACACAGACCTGCTCTGTCTTAGGCCTTGTACGCCTCTGCTTAGCTCATCCCATGAAAACACCATTTAAAAGATAAATGCCAGTGTGGCATGCCCTTCTCTCTCCTTCGCCCTGTCCTCCAGCTTCCCACCCCTTGGCATCAATCAATCCATTAAGGCACTACTGCCACCCAGAGTCCTGTGGTGGTTATGTGTCAATGGTGTCTGTCCCTAGGTGCAAACCCAGAGCTGCGTATAAGGGTATGGATAGTAATGCCCATAGGAAAGTGTATGCACCTTTAATCCCAGCACAAAGGAGACAGAGGTGGGCGGATCTCTGTGAGTTTGAAGGCAGTTCAGTCTACATGCTGAGTTCCAGGATAATCAGGGCTACACAAGAGAAGCCATGTCTTGAAAACAAAACAACACCAACAAAAACAAATTTAATATATATGTATGTGTGTATGTATATGTAAAGCATTAAGTTAAGCTGCAAATGGAGTTTTGACAACTTCAGTTAGTACAGCTGCTTCTCCATGTATGTTGGAGTTTGCATTTCATGTTCCCATCATAAGTTGAAGGCAACATAATCAAAACTGTACTTTGGGAAGCTTGGCATGGTGACTCATGCCTTTAATTCCAATACTTGGGAAGCAGAAACAGGGGGAACTCTGAGTTCGAGGCCAGCCTGGTTCACATAGTGAATTCCTGGACAGCAAGAGCTATGCAGAGAGACCCTGCCTCATTAGTATATATTTTCACATATTGTATAATGTATTAAATATAAGTACATATCAACAAATAGTATATAATAAATAATATCAACATATATAATGATATTTTATGTAGTCATATGTATGTAGATATGTATCATTTTTATAAATATATCACATGTAATTTATAATCAAAATGTTTATATGCTATGGGCTGCAGAGATGCCTGGGTAGGTAAAGTGATTGCCTTGTAAATGAGAGGTATTGAGTTCGAATCCCTAGAGCTCAGGTAAAGCTGGGCTCAGTAACACACATCTGTAATCCCAGTGCTCCTGTGGTGAGATGGGAAGCAGACACAGGAGAACCCCAGAAGCTGCTGTGTCAAACAAGAGGGCTGACACCCAGGGTTGTCCTCTGACCTCCAGATGACATGGATGGCACGTGTGCACCCACACTCATACACGTGAATGCCCACATATACATTATACACAGGTTTAATATAGCCGACCTACCCAACACCGTGGCTTTACACACTTACATTAGCCCCGAGAGGAACAGAACTAATAAAACGAATATGCAAATGAAATAAATCTCCATGATGATGAGGAGGTGAAGATGACCACAGGCTGTCATCCAGCTAGGCCAACAATGGCTGTCTACCTAAGGAAAGTCCAAGAATCTTTCAGTAGCTGTTCAGTCCACCAGGCTGGGTGTCTCAGCTGGTCTTCAGCATATGCCGGAATCCTAAAGAAACAGATGTTAATGCCAGTGAGGGAATGGACTTGCCAGCAAGAGTGAGAGAAGCAGGGCAAGCAAGCAGGGAGGAAGGGAGGAGGAGGGGGAAGGGGAAGAGAAGGAGGGAGAGAAGAGTGTTTCCTTCTTCCATGTCCTTTTTATAGGCTTCTAGCAAAAGGTGTGGCCCAGGTCAAAGGTGAGTCTTCCCACTTCAAAAGATCTGGATTAGGGCTGGAGAGATAGCTCAGCAGTTAAGAGCACTGGCTGCTCTTCCACAGGTCCTGAGTTCAATTCCCAGCACCCACATGGTAGCTCACAGCCATCTATAATGAGATCTGATCCCCTGTTCTGGTGTTCAGGTAGACATACAAATAGAGCCTCCACATACATAAAATAAATAAATAAACCTTTAAAAAGATCCAGATTAAAGGTGGGTCTTCCCCACTTCAAATGATTTAATTAAGGAGAAAAAAAAAAAAAAAAACTTTTGGCAAGGCAGTGGTGGCACAGGCCTTTAATCCCAGCCCTTGGGAGGCAAAGGCAGGCAGATGTCAGTGAGTTCTACAGAGTGAGTTCCAGGACAGCCAGAGCTAAAACAGGGAAACCCTGTCTCAGGAAAAAAACAAAAACAAAAACAAAAACAAAAAAACAAAGAAACCCTCACTGATGTAGTCAAGGTGACAACCAAGAATAGCCATCACACGTAAAGTTCGTCAGCGTCACCTAACAGGAGGTCTGTTCTGCAGTGAAAGGTGAGCGTGTAGTTCAGTTTACCGAATGTTGTGCCGATGGTGAGAAGCGGTGGTCATGGATCTGCCTTTGCGCCACAGTAAAGTTGGACAGTCCTAAGTTAAACCATCCACATCTGAGGGGGACCCTGCAGGTGTCCAGGCAGGGAAGCAAACCCGGGAAGAGATGAGAATGAAAACTGGGTTCAGATTGACGTCATCGACCTGGTTCAGACTCCTGGGAGTCTAAGGCCAGGTGGTTTACTGCCGGCAGCCGTCATTCCAATCCCAGGCACACAAAAAGCCCAAGGTGTGACTACGTAGAAACTCCTTTGGGAAGCGCATGTGCCCATGCAGGCGGCTTCTGTAGCTAAAAGCCCCAGGATCTAGTGTGGTCTCTGGCAGACAGCATAGAGGTCAGCAGGCCATAAAGTACATGCAACATCTCCCCTAAGGATGGGTTGAGCCGGGAGCTAAAAACTGAGGTCCAGGGAGGGAGAGTCTGGGATAAGAATTCTGGGGAATTTGGGTGAGGTCTGCCTCCACAGATAGCAAAACCCTCGCCAGGTCATTAACAACATCCATTCCCAGCCTTCTGGGCTGGAAAATAGGTTAACTTCATCCATTGAGGAGAGGTCCCTGCCTAACGTTCCTGGTTCCCTGCAGCTCTGTGGGCACAAGGATCTTTGTGCCCCAACACGGGTCGAAGGCTTTATGCTGTTCGTTTAGCTGGCAGCATTTCTTGCGGAAGAGGCAGGAAGCTGCCAGGTTAAGAGCAGCCTCAGCTGGGTGTGGTGGCGCATGCCTGCCAGCCCAGCACTTCGGAGACAGGAGTGTCAGAAGTATCGAGGTCTTCCTTGGCTAAAAGAGTTTGAAGTTAGCCCGGGCTACATGAGCCCCCATCTGAGGGAGTCAATGAGTCAGTTTACAAAATGGGTAAATAAATAAAATAGCATGGGCTCTAACGTTTTGAACCCCAGTTCAGCCATTTGCTGTGGCATTAGCCAAATGATTCCAGACCTCTGAGCGTCAGCCCCTTACCCTTGTGATAGACATGAAAAAAAGCACCAACACCTGGGGATTGATTCTTTGAGGTCTGGGTCTGACAGATCCACAGTATCTGCTGTGACTGAGTAGGCAAAAATGGCCTGGAAGCTTAGGACTGGAAACATTCCCACTCTCTGGCTGTATTCTTTCTGCAGGCTGCAGTCCCAGGTGACCTGCATGCATATGACCTGGGGGGTCAGAGGCATCACATTTCAGACCCTCCATCATTTATATGAAAATAGACTATAAGTAGCTGGGAAACCCAGAGTAGAGGTTAGTACTATAGCCACCAAGGTCAAAGCAGAGTTCAAATCACAAGCTACTTACTTGGTGAACTTTGAGATGTGACCTCATTTTCCTCACCTGTGAAACGGGTCTAATAATCCCCTTTCTCATTCAGAAAGTTCATCTGGGAGCTAAAGGAGCCCGTGCAGATAGGAGCTAAAGGAGCCCGTGCAGATAGGGATAATTGCTTTTACCTTTATTCAGTTCATCATCCAACAAGTAGTTTTCTTTGATCCCTCAGTACTGTTGACAACAGGTGTTATACCCAGTTCGAGAGCCCCCAAAAGATCTACAGGAAACGACTCCGTTGCAAAACACATGGGGGTCTTTTTATTGTAAATTACAAGCTGCAGCTTGGGTCTACACAGCCCCACTGCCAAAGTGGTGGGAGCTGAGCGCGCGTCCCCAGGTTAGTTGGGTGATTTATAGATTCTGGTCCCTCCCAGCATGCCCAAGGCAGGGGCGATTCCTGCCTGGCAAGCATCTATTGGTCAAAATGCTACATTTTGAATCGATTGGCTATAGGAAGGTTCCCAGACCATTGACCATGACCAGGTGTCCCTCCCTAGGGGGAGGGTCCACTTTCCTAGCAACCGTATCTCTAGTGGGTGGGGAAAGAATGCAGTGAGGTAGCTCTCCCCTCAGGGCATTACTAACTTTTTACCGCACCTACTCTAGGTCTTAACGACTTTATCCTTTGGTCTCTCACAGGTAGCAAGTGAAATGGGTACCGTGGGCAGCATGTATCTTCATGAGTGAGCTCATCCGCTTGTGATGCAGGAGGGGCTCCGCCTGGTGCCTCTCGGGCACTGATCTCTGACATGCTCTGTCCTCTCGCCCGCTTGCAGATCTGTGCCATCATTGGCGGGACCTTCACTGTGGCTGGCATCCTGGACTCCTGCATCTTTACAGCCTCAGAAGCGTGGAAGAAGATCCAGCTGGGCAAGATCCACTGACATCTTGGCACCCTGTGACTGAGGACCAGGAACCCCTCTAGCCCTGCCTCCAGCGTCCTATTCCTTCTGCCTTCTCTGGCCCCGTGTGTGTGGGAGGAGGGGGTGGGTGGGAACGGGTGGCACAAGGTTCCACAGCTACCTCTTTGCCCATGTTTTAGATAAATTAACACTGCCTGGAGTCATGGTGTTCCCTTCCCTGCAGAGCCTCAAGACCAGAGTCAAGCATGGGGAAGTACTCCAGGGATGCTGGTGACCCCGTGGGAAGGCTGCAGTCTTTTCTCTGTTAGGGAATAGCCTAGAGTCCACACAGACCAGCTTTCAGACAGGCTTTGACAATCTTAAGCCCCCACCATTCGGATACATTAACAGCCTGATTTCTTGCCCAGCAGCCAACCTGAGCTCTAGGCCTTGGGACCAGGCTGCCCAAAGGTACTGCTCGCTGGCACTTTCAACACGGAATGGTACTTGGCAGGCAAGCCCCTAAATACAGCTCCTTAGCTGGAGCTTGCTTCTGCCCCATTACTTCATATCCAGCCCTGAGCCCAGGTCTTTTCTCTTGCCCTACCCCTGCCTCGTTCTATGAAGCAGATGCCCAATTGCTTGGCAGAATGGTGGAGACTCAGATTTGCCTGGCAGTCCTGAGGCAGCTCACAGGTGCCTCTTCTTTTGTCCTTGCTCTTCTGAATCCCTCACCAATGTGCCTCAGCCGCTGTGCTATGTGGCAATAGCATTTCTTGGTGAAGGGGCTGGTTCCCATCGTGAAGCCTCCCCCCCCCCCCCACCCATTACATTCTGCCAAGGGAAAGGGCCATGTGGCTGGAAGGTCATCCTGGGAGGACCACGGAAGGCACAGTTTGTGCACTTCTCTACAATCCAGAACCATCCTTTCCTGCAAATCACAACCGATCATGTCTTGACATCGACCTTTGGTCCGGAGGCCTTAGCTGGGGAAGTGAAGCGGGCCAAGCTTCTCTTTGCACCTCCACCTTTCGGGCTCCCGAGGGATGTCCAGCACCTTCGACCCATTTGCCATTGAGACCCCCCCTATTAGCTGAGCACACACCAACTCATCCCTAGCCCCTTGGGGGGCTCCAGCGTCTCCACTTTCTCTTGAGGTGGATCCCTTCCCTGTCACCCACCTCATCCGTCCTTTTTCTTTTCCCCTAATGGGAGGGGCAATGGTCCAGGCATGACTTCTATCCAGAGAATTTTAGCTATGCTCTCACGTCCAGAGAGAGGGCTGCATGCCTGGGCTTCACTTCTATGGAGATTGCTTGCATACTTTTGTAATGAAGGGGAGTCTCCAGTAGGAAGTTTTTTTTGTTTGTTTGTTTTGTTTTTCTGTTTTTCTTAAATAATCTCCCCTGGGTAGCTGGATTTTCTGCCATTTGTAAATTTTGCCTCTTGAATTCCAATTAGCAAAACTTCCCTTTTTATATGAGTTGACTCTCCTGTGTGTAAACTGCCCCTGAGTTATTTCTGGTATCTGGCAACTTGGATAGTTATCTTTTTTTTAAACATTCTGTTCCACAGCTTCAGAAACCAGTCCCTTTGGTGTGTGAATCTGTCCCTGGTGGAGGGTGGGGCAGGGTGGGATGGGGCAGGAAATATGTGGCATGCGTGTGAATTGTGATCCCACTTTGGTGAGGACACAGGATGTCAGTTTCCCGTGGAAGAGACGCCTCTGGCCTGTTCTAATGGTATTCTCAAGGGGACATATGTTTCGATTCTTTCCCACCCATTGGGTTCAAATAGATGATTAAAAGGCTGCTTTTCAGAAATATTGATATGACTCTGCATTGGTTATGGCTGGGTAGCCTAGAGTGGGACTGAAAGTGAATTTTAATTCTACAGGACAGAGGTTGAAAATGCTGAAGAGAAGCCGGTCGTGGTGGCACATACCTGTAACTCCAGGACTCAGGGAGGCAGAGGCAGGTGGGTCTCTGTGAGGCCAGCCTGGTCTATAAAGGGAGTCCAGGACAGCCAAGGCTACACAGAGAAACCCTGATCCTAGCACTTGGGAGGCAATGCCCGGTAGATCTCTCTGAGTTCCAGGACAGCCAGGACTACACAGAAACCCTCTCATGAAACACAAAAACAAAAAAGAATAATAAAGCCAGGTGTGGTGGAGTATGCCTTTGATCACAGCACTCAGGAAGCAGAGGCAAGTGGATCTGTGTGAGTTCAAGGCCAGCCTGGTCTATCTAGAGAAACCCTGTCTCAAAAAACAAAACAAACAAACAAACAAAAACCCAACAAACAAAAGGAAGATGAAGAAGAACATGCAGAAGACAAGGTCTGTTGAGAATGGAGAACATCTTATAGGATTATTGACCTTGAAGATTCTAGTTGGCTTCAACCCAACCAGACTGTATCTATAGAGGGTTATAGAAGCTTCTAGAGAGGGGGCTTCTTCTGACCAAGTTTAGCTATGGGCACCCTAGGAGGGGCTCACCCTGGCAGGAGGGGCCCTGATGCTGATGGCTTATAGGTAAGGCACCCCATGCAGCCTGGCAGTCCGCACACCCATAGGACTATTGCTAAATACAAAAGAACCCTTTCCTGTCCTCAAGCAGTAGCATTACCAGAAATTTTGGGAGACCCACCTGGGATGCCAAATGTCTGAAAAACAGAACACCAAATGAACTGTCTTTTTCCACGGACACATTTTGGTACAGGATTGATTCATTGACAGATGTGTTTGAAATTGACAGCATGGAAGAGATTAGTTGTTTTTGTTTGTTTCAGTGATTTCTCCTTTTTGTATAGAGGAGGGGTTGCAGAGCAGACCCATAGAGGAGTAGATCAGAGGCTGGGGTCCCTGAGCAGATATGCTGCTAGGAGGGGTGGAGGAGTACCACAAGGGGAGGAATCCAAGTGCTTGGAGAGGTGTGTCACATCATGGAGGAGCCTGGGAAATGAACTGTGGCGCTCAAAGTAAGGAGGTTTTATTTCCTCATGTCACTGTAAGTTGTTTTTATTTGCTAGAAACAATAACAGGCCACTAGAGGGCCACATCCTTTAAGAAAAATATTGAGGGGTGGGGTCGTTATCTGATGGCTCACCAGGTAAAGAAGCTTGTTACCAATCCTGATGAACCACATATGGAGGAATTAGGCCCCTCATATGCCATGGGACAATATATATGACTACACACACACAGGTAAATAAATAAATGTAATTCTTTAAAAAAAAAAAAAAATCTAAGTGCCAGCAAGATAGCCCAGCTGGCACCTGATGACTTGAGTTCAATCCCAGGAGCCATGGAAAGGTGGAAGGAGAGAGAAATCTTCACAAAGTTTGTCCTCTGCCTTCCACCTGTGTGCCATGGTACACAATCCTCCCTTCCCCCATATAATAATAAACAATTGACTTTTTCTTGGTGTTTTGAGACAGGGTTTCTCTGTCTGGACTCACTTGATAAATCAGTCTGACCTCAAACTCACAGAGATCCACCTGCTTCTGCCTCCCAAGTGCTGGGATTAAAGGTGTTCACCACTGGCGAAATTCACATTATCTTTTCTTGTTTGTTTTAGTTTCTCTGTGCAGCCCTGGCTGTCCTGGACTCGATTTGTAGATTAGGCTGCCTCAAATTCACAGCAATCTGACCGCCTCTGCCTTCCTGAGTGCTGGGACTACAGGTTTGCACCACCGTGTCTGGCCAAATTTGCATTATCTTAAACCTGGTTTTAGGGCTGGAGGTGTAGCTCAGTGTTAGAGGCCCTAGGCTTACTCCCCCAGCACCAAAACAACCAAAGAAACCTGATGTGTACTTCTAGAAGGTTCATTATCTAAAGATAGATAGTATACGGATGTGAGAGAGAACATAAGTAAAGGAGAACATTCTCTGAAGACCCTTTTCCTCCCCGCAGCTGTTTCCTGCCAGTTCTTTGCTGATGAGGTCATGCATTTAATTGTAACCCATCGTTGGGAGGATTGGGCATTCTCGGCATGCCAGGAAGAAACAGAGGCGTAATTGCACCCTAGCTACACAGCCAGCAGGTGGGAAAGTTGGAATTCCAACCCAGATCTGCCTGACTATGGGGTTGTGAAGAAACACATGGTGCTGCCTCAGCCCCAAGATCAGCAGGGCTGTCTCAGGTGGACAAGCCAGAAATTGGGGGAAGAGGGTCAGAGCAAGAGGGCCTTTTGTCTGTTTTCTTTGGTCTTTTAAAACAGTGGCTCTTGACCTCCCTAATGCTGCAACCCTTTAATACAGTTCCTCCTGTTGCAGTGACCCCCAACTATGAAATCATATTTTCGTTGCTACTTCATAACTGTAATCTTGGTACTGTTATAAATCATAATATAAACCCTTTTGGAAATGTTTGCTGGAGGGGTCACGACCCACAGGTTGAGAGCCATTGCTTTGAAACAATCTGTGAGGGTCTGGGAATATAACAGAGTTAGAGTACAGGGCTTCACGAAGATGCCAAATAAATCAGTAAGTGAATACACATTTGAGGAAACATGTCGGGAATGACTTGAATGTGAGGTGGAAGGGTCTGAACAGAGGAGCCAGGGGGTGAAGAATGAAGTCATCGCCATGAAGGACCACTGTGAAGAGAAGCTGTGAGCCTGCTGTGCACAGTCATGCTCCCACGTGCCCCTGTGTTTCCACTGGCGGACACTGGATGCGGTGGAGCGCACCTTTAATCACAGCACTCTGCCGAGGTCACTTCCCCAAACCCTTGCCAGCCTGGACCCACTGACAGTGGATGGCAGCGCAGTGCAGCGTCAACCGCAGCAGTATATGTTGACCAGGTGGAGACTTCCTCCAAAAATCTCCAACCCTGATTGCAGAGGTCTCCAGACTAAAGTACTAAACAGGACCCTGCAATAGTCAGAGCTCCTGCAATACTGGTGTCGAACAGTTTCACTTCGTACTACCAACTCTAATAAGCTAGGGATGTGCACAGGACCAGTGGGCAGGTGGCTTTTTGGCCTAGGGCAAGACGTGCTTTCTGCATCTCAGGGTCTCCATTTGTTTAGTGAATACTGCAACCTCATATCCAGAATCTGGGACAAAGCAGGCGTTCAGCAGATGTACAGTGACTGGATGGGCCGGGATGGGGCGTGAAGAGGTGTAGAGACGATGAACGACTAAAACTTTGCACAAAATAAGCACTTTGGGCTACTAAGATGAAAACAGCGGAAACCGGAAGCTCTTTCCCTCCCTCCTCACCGCTACATTGTTCAGGGAGGGGTTGTCTCAGGGCTGGTGCCTCCCTCACAGGGCAGGCACAGCCGGGAGCAAGACTTCCCGCCCGGAGGATGCGCAGCCTGGACACAATCTGACAAACCTGCAGGTGGCGCCCGCGCTCCCAGCAATCTTCCAATTTAGGAGACTCAGGGCTGAGGAGGGGCAGATGTGGCACTCGGAGGTGGGCGCGGGGCGGCCACGGTCTCCCAGGATGGTGACCTGGTTCTTTCCCAAAGCTCTCAAGCAGTTAAAAAAAAAAAAAAAAGGTCACCAGCGTGGTGCATCGCTTATGTTTTCATCAAACGAAAAGCTAAGGGTTTGCAGCATTGTAGTTAATTTTAGGAGTCTGAGCGCTGAGCGCCAGTCCCCAGCATAAAAAGTCTAATTGTGAAGATGACAGTGGATGTAAAGGCTGTCTTTTGGACTATGCTGGAGTGAGAGTCACACACCTGCTTTTCTTAGGAAGACTGGTTATAACTGCTCTGTACCAAACACTGTTCTGAACGTTTTGGGGAACTCATTTAATTCTCACAACGACCTACTAAGATCATACTCATTGTGCAAATCAGAGAATTAGGACTACAAAGCCGGCAGTTTCCAGGTCCATCAAAAAAGTCACACTTGGGACCAGGGATGACCTTATGATTCAAGAGCTAAACAAACAATGGAGGGGTATGAAAAAAAAAAAAAAATCCCCAAACCTTAGGTCGCCTCAAAATCTTTTGGAAGGTGAGAGAACGCTTTTTTAAAAGTTCAAATTTGGGAGACAGAGAAGTTTAAGTCAGTGGTAGAGTGTATGTTTAATATGTTGAGTTACTGGGTTCAATTGCCAGCACCAATAAATTAAAATTATATTTTAATTAAAAATTGATTTAGATATAGCTGTATTTAAAAAAACACTGTGTTTTTATAGAACTGTAGTAGGGCCCAAATTTTTGCATTTTGAACTTCTTAATAATTCTGAAGAAGCCAGTCAGATGGCTTTTGAAAGGTGTGTCATGGTGTTTAAAGAATTTGCACGATGGACAATCAGCCTGCCACATGGACAGGTTTCACAGAAAAGTGAACCAGACACAGGCGGCAAACACTTACACTAAAGAAATGTCCATCTATACTGAACATGGACAGATTTTTCCTTTCATTTTCTAAGCAATACAGTATAAGAACTCATACAGCCTTTACATTGTAGTAGGTATTATAGCTAGGCATGATTAAGTATGAAGGAGATATATATGTATATATATATATGCAAGAATTGTGATGGAGTGGGCTTGAATACCTGCGGACGGAGGTTCTGGAACCAGGGTGCTGAGGACAGCTGTGTAGTACGCACCCATGTGACTAATACAGACTCCTTTGTGGAGGGCAATGGGGGCGGGGGGGATGACGAGAAGCTAAAACGATATCAACAAGGAATGGGGGCTGTGTGTGGTTGAGTGAGATAAATGTTACTGAGAAATAGGGGGTGAGTTTTAGTCTTTTATTTTTAAGGTGTATTATTCATACAGTAGTCTGCTTGCATATGTGCCAGCAGGCCAGAAGAGGGCACCAGATCTCATTCTAGATAGTTACGAGCCACCATGTGGTTGCTGGGAATTGAACTGAGGACCTTTGGAAGAACAGTCAGTGCGCTTAACCTCTGAGCCTCTCTACAGCCAGTGAGCTTTAGTCTTATCGATAAAAATTATTTTTAGAAAATGGACCCAGAAGGAAGTTGAGAACCATCTTAGGGGAATTTTAGAAAAAAAAAACAACAAGGTAGGCAAGATGTAATTCTCCGCTGCTACCAAGAAAGGGTCCAAGGATGCAGCAGGCCATGCAATGGAGGTCTGAAAGCAGCTTGGGGTGGGGGTGGGGGGGAAGAGCTGCCTTCAGGAAACGACAATGCCCCAACGTGTGACAGCGAGTAAGGTTGGCATCTTAGTACATTACTAAGCATCCTCCATTTCCTTTTTTTTTTTTTTTTTTTTTTTTGGTTTTTCGAGACAGGGTTTCTCTGTGTAGCCTTGGCTGTGCAGAACTTGCTTTTGTAGACCAGGCTGGCCTTGAGCTCACAGAGATCCTCCTGCCTCTTTCTCCCTGAGTGCTGAGATTACAGGAGTGTGCCACTGTGGCCGGCTGGTATTTTAAATCTTAAGAAGGGTGGTTTGAGGTGCGGTGCTTATCTTTCTTAAACTTGGTATGTTATCAAGAAAACAGACCACACAAGCCTGGTGCGGGGTCGCACGCCTATTGATTCCAGTACCCAGGGAGGCAGAGGCAGGAGGATCTCTATGAGTTCCAGGCCATCCTGATCTACAAAGTGAGTACAGGACAGTCAGGGTTGCACAGAGAAACCCTGTCTCGATAAAAACAAAAAACAAAGCAGAAAGAAAGAGAGAGAGAGAAAGGAAGAAAGAAAGGAAGAAGGAAGGAAGGAAAGAAAGAGGAAAAAACAAGGAAAGGAAAGCAAAGAAAAGAAAAGCAAAGCAAAGAAAAAAAAAAGAAAAAAAAAAAAAGAAAAGAAAAGAGGAGGCGGGAAACCAAGCTGATCCGGAGGAAGAGAGTCAGTCCATCTTCAGTGGCCTCCAAGTTGGCTAATGCCTGTCTCTCTAACTACCCAAAAGAATACGTCCTGTTGTTGAGAGAGGGTCTCATACAGCCCAGGCTAGCTTTGAATTTCTGATCCCCTGAGCCCCATCTCCTTAGTACTGGAATGACAGATCTAAGACACCAGGTCAGGCTAGAAAGGGTCCCAAAGCCCTGGGTTCGGTCCCAGGCACAAAACCGAAAGCTGAAGCCAGAGAAGCATCGATGAGCTTCTGTTTCAGGCCCTACAAAGCGGTATTAGGGTTCCAACCTGAGGCTTTCCCTGTCCGCTCCACTATCTGAAGAGACGGGCGCCGAGGCTCAACTCCAGCCGTAGAGGGCGCTGTTCCGATTTCCCGCGGCAGGAAGCGGAGTCTCCCATCCCTTTTGCGCGTGCGCTACAAGGAAACGTCATATCCGGCTCTGCGCGCTCTTCGCCGGAGCGAGGATCCCATCTTGGATAGACAGCCGGCCGTCACCGGGAAGTCCTATCCCTTGGTGACCTGGGACCGCAGCATAAGCCTCGAACTCCATCTCAATGGCCCCTCCTACGTGCTCCGGAAGACCATGTCTTCCCAGAGGTCCAAGGACCTGCAGAAGTACAGCATCCGCTCCATGCCCATCCGCAAGGACGACGAGGTCCAGGTACATCCAGGCGTCCTCGAGTTATAGTTACTCAGGGGCATATGGCTCAGTCACCTCCTTAACATGAAATTCCGCAGGAGTCACATACCCCCAAGACCTCCGCAAGGTGACGGAGTGACTACAGTGTCTGACCTGCCTCAGAGTGTTGGGGACAAGCAAAAGAAACTTGTTCTGAATACTGCTGTTTTGTTTTCAGACCCCATTTAATCACTAAGGTCAAGGGCCCAGACCGTGGGGGAGCCGGGACTTAACCAGTAGCTAAACAGCTTCTGTCCTAAGGAGACCGTGGCTGAGGCCAGCCACCTCAGGGACACCTTGTAAGGAGACAGTTGTCTGAGGCCAGCCATCTCAGAGACAGCTTCTCCATCTTGCTGGTAGGGGCAAACTAAGTTCATGTTCCCAGGCCCAGGAACCAACTTCTTTCCTGATTGGTGGAAAAAAAAATGTAACAATAGCTTGGCACAGATGTTTGTGCTTTGCAAATTTAAATATTCTGTGATATTCTGCCTCGGGGTTGCAGTTCACCTCCCGAGTCTGTTCTGCGGCCCTGATCGACCAGTAGGGGCTTGATTATAATAAATTTTTGTCACCTGCATTGACCTGATGTTCGAGTTGTGTTGGATCTAAGTGGACACCATAACATTCAGATCTTAAGTAATGGTGATGCTGTCTTGCATGCCAAGACAGCAAACTTCTGCTCTCTCAATTTAGCCCTTTTGGCCTTTAGTTTGCCAAGTATAGCTAATGATGGCTTCTTGAGCCAGTCTTGGAAGGAAAAAATGCTGTAGTATCTCTTGAGTTTGGCGGAATTGGTGGGCAGGCATCCATGGAAGTTGACCATGCAATGATACTAGATGTGGGAGGGAAGTCAGTGGTGCAGAAACCATCAAAAGATTATATGTTCCCTGTGACTGGAGGATACGATGTGACTGGGTGGGGTTGGGGACATGGGATGTGACATGGTCAGAGACTAGATTGGTTGCCAGAAGGAGTAATCCTGTGCCCTTAGTAGACACTCATCCTTCAGGTCATTAGCAGTGAGCGGGACTGAGGAAGCCCCTGCTCTGCGAAGCTCTCAATTGCACAGGGCTTCTTCTTGGTTAGGGTAGTTGTGGAAAGCTCCCCTTCCCCCCTCCCTTTTTCACTGCAAAATGCTAACAGCATCCCTGGCCTCTGCCTTCTCGGTGCTGGTAGCACTGAGTCCATTTTGCCACTGTCACAAGCAGATTATCACCAGGTACTGTTAGATGCCCTTCCCCAGCTGAGAACCTTCATTTTAGAGAATGAAGTGAGATAAAGTGAAGGGGTTTGTGTATCGGACATCGATGTTTGAGTGGTTAGTTAGTATGAAAGTATAGCTGGAGTAAAATAGAAAGGGCAAGGCTGGTGATAGGCTGGCTGGGCTCAGCACTTATGAGTGTGTTCTGCTCTTGCAGAGAATATGAGTTTAGCTCCCCAAACCCATGTCCAGCAGCTCACAACTGCCTGGAACTCCAGCTGCAAGGGGATTCCATGCCGTGGTCTTATGGGCACTGCAGTCATGTGACATATAAAGACATATCATTTAGTGAATGACACATGCCTTAAATTTCAACACTTCGGAGGCAGAAGCAGGCATTTTTTTTTTTTTAAACAGACTTAATTCGCTTTATTTTTCTTGTATAAAAAACTCCTTATGTGGTAGCCACAGCTGGAGCCTGGGTCCTCTGAACAGAGACTGTGGTGTGGACTTTCACAGGTTGATCAGTGAATTCCTGTTAAGGAGGCTTGGTAAACACAGTCTCTTCCCAGAGGTTAGGGGTCAGGTAGCCGTAGGTCTTGGAGATGGCATCAAAGGTGGCCTTGGCGAAGTGGCCCAGGGTGGCAGCGCAGCCCCTGGCTGATGTGTAGCGGTCATCAATACCGGCCATCATCAGTAGCTTGGGCACAAGAGCAGAGACAATGCCAGTGCCTCTGACAGAGCCACAGTGACCTTTGACCTTGCACAGAACAGTGTGGGACTTGCCAATCTTGTTCCCCAGTAGCCTCACCACACAGAGATGATGGAAAGCTTGGCCAAGATGATAGCTCTTCGGATGGTAGTGGCTACCTCCTTGGAGCACTTTATGCCAAGACCAGCATGACCATTGTAGTCCCCAAAAGTGACAAAAGCCTTGAACCTGGTCTGCTGTCCGGCCCATGTCTGCTTCTGCACTGGCATGATCTTTAGAACCTCATCCTTTAGGGATGAACCCAGGAAAAAGTCAGTAATCTCAGATTCCTTAATGGGTAGGGAGAACAGGTAGATCTCCTGAAAGGACTTAATCTTCATGTCCTTAACCAGGTGACCCAGCTTGGTGACAGGGATCCACTCCTTGTCTTCGGCTTTACCTCCACGAGCTCCATGACCACATACCACAGCCCCTAAGACCACTGCCAAATCCTCTGCAGAAGCCATCTAGGCCTCCTAATCCTGGGCCCCTGGGTCCTCTGGTCCTTCTGCTGCACCAGCATCATCCGCCATTTGGTTCTTTTCCCGAAGAAGCAGCAGCAGACAATCTCTTAAATTTGAAGCCAGCCTAATTCCAGGACAGGTGGGCCTACACATAGAAACCCTGTCTTGAAAAACCAATATGAACTTGAAAATGTTTACCTTTTTTTGGTTTTTCGAGACAGGGTTTCGGTGTGTAGCCCTGGCTGTCCCGGACTCACTTTGTAGATCAGGCTGGCCTAGAACTCAGAGATCCACCTGCCTCTGCCCCCACAAGTGCGGAGATTAAAACTGCACCTGGCATGTTTACTTTAGTTAAAGGAGAAAGTCAGGTAACTTCAGGTGACAGTAACCTTTGACATTATTCTAATTTGCAAACAACTGGAAAATTTATATTCTCTTCTCTCTCCACATTTCCTTCCTGCTACTGCTCTGTTCCCCATTTTCTAGCCTGGACTCTCAAAAGAATTGTCTATACTAGCAAGGCATGGTAGTGCACACCTTTAGTCCCATCACTCAGGAGACAGAGGCAGGCAAATCTCTGAGTTTGAGGCCAGCCTGTTCTATATAGCAAGTTCCAGAACAGCCAGGAGACCTTGTCGTGGCTGGGGGGAGGGGTATACCGTCCTGCCATTCACTAGTGGGTACCCTTCAGTCTCATCCCTGTCCACGTTGCCTTATAAAACCTGCCTGGGCTGAGGGTACCAATGACCTCTGTGGCTAAGTCCAGCGGCCACATTCATTAGCGGTAGCACCGCCATAGTTGAGTTCATGCTTACAGATGCTTGCAGCTTCTCAGACCCCTTTTCTGGTTATCTCTCGCCTCTGAAACCAAACTCCTGGGGTTCACCAAGGTCTGGGTTTGGTCTCACATTTCTCTTTGATATTCTCTACCTAGACAGATCTATTAATAGGTAACATTCTGTTCTCCAAGCTTTATATGTGTGCTCTGTGATAGCAAGTAATTTGAGACAGGATGTCACTGTTTAGCTTAAGCTGGGGGTTTTGTTGTTTGTTAGTTGTGGTGCTAAGAAGCAAACCAGGGGCCTTACACCTGCTAGGCAGGCACCCTACTACGGAGACAGAGGCACAGACCTCCAGAACAGTCTTGATCCTAACACTCCTGCTGCTCCTAAAATCTGATTTTCCTCTCAGCTTCTGTATCTCCGTAAGTGACATATCTCATCTCACTCCGTAAGTGACACTCTTAGCCCTGGCAGAGTCGGCTCCTCTCCCTGTAATCCCAACATTCATCCTATAGTGGTAAAAGCCATCTGTGTCATCCATTTGAGTCACTTCTCACGTCTCCTCTGAGCAGTGATTACATCTGTCTGTTTATTTGCTGCTCACCACCTCTCACACTGAAGCTCCATGTGCCAGAGAGCTGTCTTGTTTGTTGCCTGATCTCAGTCCAGAGCCTGGCACACACAGCAGGCCTCAGTCAGTCAATACTTGTTGAATAGGAAAAAAATTATTAACTAGACAAATATAAAATGTGATATAAACAAGTTTAAACATATATATTTATGCGTTATGACTTGTGTTTTCTTTTAGGTATGAAGAAACTGAAACTCAAGTTAACTACAGAACACGTAGCTGAGGATGACCTTGAACTTCTGATCTTCCTGTGCTGGAATTATAGGCATGTGCTACCATGCTAGCCCTGTACACATCCTCCACCACCAGCGTCACTGCCTGCCACAGAAGTTTTGTGTTTGTGGTGCTGGGGTCTGAGCCCAGGGCCGTGTGCGTAACAGGCAAGTGCTCTTGTATCCCCAGTCCTGTCTTACAGTTACAAAAACTGTAAGACAAAAACTGGGTTTCAAATGGTTGCCTGATACACTGTAAATTTCTTCAACAGCATCTTAGGTTTCAGTGTTGAGAGCTGCAGTGCATGTCTCAGTGGTAGAACCTGCCTAATGTGCAAAACCCGATCTTCTGTCTCCACACTTGGAGAATTATTACATTTTTTTTACACCTTTTTCTTTTAAACATTTTATTTATTTGTGTTATGTGTATGGATACATATGTGCCACGGTGCACATATGGATGTCAGAGGACAGCTTTCAGGAGTAAGTTCTCTCTACTGTGTGGGTCCCAGTGATGGAACTCATGTCCTCAGGTTTGGCAACAATGTTTTTTACCTTGTGAGCCATCTTACCTGCCCTGTATTTTTTAATTTCAAGACTTCTGTAATGACTGTCCTTGGCAGAGAAAGATTTCTGTTCTCCCGTAAAGAAAAAAAAAAAATACAGCCTTGTCTACAAAATGAGTCCAGGGAAGGAGGAGGAGGAGAAGGAAGAGAAGGAAAGAAGGGTGAATCTCCACATAAACAACCATAAGACAAGTACACAACACAAAGATAGCCAGCTGTGTCTGCAAGACTGCTTTTGTTCAGTCGTTTGTGCATTTAGCCCCTGAAGCTGTTCCTGACAGCTTCCTTGGTGTGCTGTGCTGTCCAAGGTGGTTTGAGGACACTGCAAAGATCAGCAAGGTAGTCCAAGTGTACAGAAGTCAGTATGTCATCTACATCAAGTGGGCACAGCATGAGAAGGTCAAAACTCTTAAAGATCACAGCATTGGGAAGTTGAGAACACTGATTTAGAGGCACCCTGGTTTTGCATTCCCCCCCCCCCCTTTTTGTAGCACTCACTTTTAAACTATTTTATTTGGAGTTCCTTAAAGCCTCTCCCTTCCAACCCCCCAACCCTAGGAAGGAGAGAGAAGGTTAGTGGGGAGAGGGGGTGCAGATGCCTTATTTCTTTCAGCTGTTTAGGGTCGATGGGTTCTCAGTCTATCTCCAAGCTGCTGCACCACAAAGCATCTCTCCCATGTCTCTCCAAAACACCACACTGTCTGTCTCTGGTCTCTCCAAACCTCCGCCCTTTCTCTTTCTGGGAATCTCATGTTTTTAGCCCTGTGCTGCTCCCTGTGCTGCACGAGGCAGGCTGTTATCAGCTGACAAAGAGGCTAGCCCGAAGGAGGCAGTTATCAGCTGACAAAGAGGCTAGCCCGAAGGAGGCAGTTATCAGCTGTGGACAAGCTAAAGCCCAGACTAAACCTGGGATTAAAACAAAAACATATTACATAACTGAGTTTTTAAAGAAACCAAAACTTCCATTGCAGTGTTTCTCTTTGTAGTCTTGGCTATCTTGGAACTCACTCTGTAGACCAGGCTAGCCTTGATCTCCGAGATCTGCCTGCTTCTGGATTCTGAGTACTGGGATTTTTTTGTTGTTTTTGGTTTTTTGAGACAGGGTTTCTCTGTGTGTAACCTTGGCTGTTCTGGACTCTTTTTGTAGACTCACAGAGATCCACCTGCCTCTGCCTCCCCAAGTGCTGGGGTTACCGTGTGGCCTGTTTTGCCATTCTTGATGGTGGCTGTATCACCAAGTAGATGGCAAGAGGGCCCATGCATTCTAAGCATCACTAGTTCACTAGAAGTTCTGAGAGAAAAGGGCAAAGCTCTCTTCCTGGGCCTCCCCACCCAGGTAAGATTCGATTTTCACCTTTGAACTCTCATTTCACACTGCTAGAGGAGCTTTCTTCTCTGTGCACTGAGTGGTTAGGGCTTTGTCTTTCTGCATTATTACCCAGTAGCTGCTGAGAATCCAGATTTTCTTCAAAGCAGTGTACCTTGACAGCCAGGGATGTAAGCAAAATTTCCATCCCTTGTCAACACATCACTGACCTGCCTACATGGTCTTGTGGGAACCTCAGAGAATCCAGGGTCTTCAAGCTGCCTGGCAGGAGGAGCCTACAGGAGGCTCCACTGCTTGGGATTATGGAGATTATAAATTCCTTCAATTTACAATTCTGTTTTGTTTCCTGACAGGTGGTTATCACCGGGCTGGAACCAAAAACAGGAAAATAATTCTTGAATGCAAAGCCAAGTCTCCGCAAGTTAGGAAAGAAAAAGGCCAATGTAAGGAGCTCACTGACAATGCAAACGTGAACACAAGCTGTCATGCAGCCACAGCTAACTGCAGCGGGAATCTCGTGCCAGCCTCTTCGGAGCTTTTCAAAGCGTGCCTGATATTGTCTCTTTTTCCACCTGTTTTGCTACTGACCTATCATTCTGTAAATCTCCTTTTGCAGTTTTGATAATTTATGAATAAAAACTGGAACCATTTCCTAACTCCAAGTGGCATTTGCATTATTTTACAAATTAAAGCCATCTCATCCACATCAGGATTCCAACAGTCTGGCAAACAGCAATCCAGCAATAGCAAAAGCAGCAACCTCTTTGAAAAAAAAAATGAGCTGAATTAAAAAGAAAGAAAAGCAAGAATTACTCTTTCTTGTTTTACTTATTTTTTTCATTGATTATTGTAAATTCTTTCTTTTTTTTTTTTTTTTTTTTGGTTTGGTTTTTTGGTTTTCCAAGACAGGCTTTCTCTTGGGTAGCCTTGGCTGTCCTGGACTTGCTTTGTAGACCAGGCTGGCCTCAAACTTACAGAGATCCACTTGCCTCTGCCTCCCTGAGTGCTGGGATTACAGGCCCACTATGCCAGTGCGCCCAGCAAATTACTGTAATTTTTAGGTAAGGTCTTACGATGTGACCCTAGCTGGCTGGCCTTGAAGTCATGATTCCCTTGCCTCCTGAATGTCAGCATTATAGGCAAGCAGTGCCTGCCTTTAAGGCTGTGAAAACTGAAGTGTCAGTTCACCAACCTGGCCCAACTGTAGGAGTCACATGCTTGTTACCATTAGTGTCCATCCTTTCACTTGCATTCCCGAGGGTGGTGCGTGTGTTTCACGTGAACTTTGGTAATTCTTAAATCCATGCAGACTTGATTGGTTTCTATAGAACATATACCCAGTTTATAGAATGGTTGCATATCACATAGAGGTGTAACCTGCTGAGCGAGGGTGAGCAGCTTAACTAGGAAGTTCTGTGTTTGTGGTTTTTGTCACTTTGAGTATTTTGAGATTTAATGTTAGTGTAGGTGTTTTGCCTATGTGTATATCTGTGTACTATTATGTATGCGATGCCAGAGGACAGAAGGAGACATCACAAAGCCCCAAATGGTTGTGAGCCACTGTGGATTCAGCACTAAGCTAGCTCTCTAGCCCCGTGTTGTAGTTATTTTCTATAGAATTTTGTCTTCATTCTCAATCAGCTTAAGTTTCGGAGTGTAAGAGTTGGGTAAAAGTTAGATTTCATACTAAACTAAGTGTGTAGAGCTGTGCAAGAGTTCTCTAGAGGAACAGAGACTACAGCTTCAGACTGAGTTCTGATACTAGTTTGGCCTGTTTTTTAAGTGCATGACCTGGAGCAGATTGATTTAACAATATACATTCAATGGACTATTATTCAACCTTAAAAACAGAGCTATTTTTAATATTCAGTAGTTGGAGACAGGAGAACCACAAGTTTCAGTTTTAGGGGCTAGGGCAGCCTAGCCTATGTAGTCAAACCCTGTCTTAAGAAAATTCAGCCGGTGCTATGGCGCACCTTTTATCCCAGCACTCAGGGAGGCAGAGACAGAGGCAGAAGCAGGCAGATCTCTGTGAGTTCGAGGTTATCCTGGTCTACAAACCGAGTAAGGATAGCCAAGGCTACACAGAGAAACCCTATCTGGAAAAAAAAAAATCTCTCCCTCTGTCTCTCTCTCACACACAAACATGGATAAACCTTGAGGATACGCTAAGTGAAATAAGCCCACCATGTACCGACAAGTGTTCCTCCTTTAGGAAATTCCTAGAACAGACAAGCACACAGACGGGCTGGTAGGAGGGCTGATGTTTAACTGATAAGAGAAACATCTAGAAAGCATGATAGTACTTGTCTGTAATCCTAGCACTTGAGAGGGCATCACAGGGACGAGCCACTCCCTGGCTCTGGTGTGAATCCTAGAGATTGTTTGAACAGTAATGTAAACGATTTCTTTAAAGCAGTCTCGAGGATAAATTGTATGCTATGTGTATCATGGCAGATTTTAAGGAAACGAAGTGCCATGTGGAGGGAAGCAGGAACAAGCTGAGTTCTCTCCTTCAGTTCTGGCTGATCTCAGGCTGTCTTGCCTATTCAGTTCAGCTGCAACGTTGTTCAGCGGGCATATTCTACATCCAATACACTCCCAGCCACAAGCAGCTGAACAGCGCCTGTTCTCCAGGAGCAACTTCTAGGCACATCCGTCCTTATGACATCCCAATGTGACATTGTCATCTACAAAGTTCACACCCGAGAATCGCACGATGGAGTCACACACCCCACATCCTCCCCCGCCAAAAGGTTTAAGATTCTGTGTTGGACCACATTCGTAGCTACCCTCCAGCCACAGGCTGGACACTGTGAAAAGTTTGAACAAGGTCCTACACAGACACGCGCATGTCCTAACAGTAGGAAACAGGCCTTGGTGGCGCTTGGCTTTACCATTATCATTTCTGCTGAGCTGAGTTCTGCAGGAAAGCAATATCAACACAAAGAATGCCAAATGATTCAAAAGAAATGTTTCCCCCTTAAACAAAGAAGCAAAATACCTAGTACAGAATTCCGAAAGAATACATTTTTTGTTTTCCTTCTAAGGCCGTCTAGTTTTAACTGCCAAGCGCGCAGGACAGTTAAAGTCTTCAGATCATTTGAAAAGCTGGTACAGCTGCTGAAGATTCCTATTAATCCCGGAATCCATTCTACCTGTTGAAGAAACGAGGAGAGATGGTCCACAGTCCAGCACGCTGGATTCAGTGAAACTCAGCGACAGAGCTCCTTTCCACCTTGCTCAGTCTGTGAGCTTCTTCAAAATCAACCTCAGCTCAACAAGGTGGCTTGTCTGCAATCCAAGCACTAGGGAGTTGGAGGCCAGACTGTTCTACATAACAGGACCCGGTCCCCATGAAAAAAGAAAAAAAGAAAGCCTCTGAGAATTGTCTCCCTCCTCTGTGCCTAAGGAAGTTCACGGTGTGATGAGCCTACAAGGATGCTGACAGGCACAGCTCCGGTATTTCTGTGTCATTCCTACGCTTATTGAAGCCTTGTGACAACAGGCAGCTATCAGTCTGCGCTGTGGCCTGTTTGGAGGTCTCTCCCCACCCCTGGACGTGACCTTTCAGAGGATCGTCTGATGAATTTATGTAACCCAGACCCGTACAAGACATACTATTAGCACCAACAGTCAAGAGGCTGTGCCTTGAAAGCTTATAGTCAGGAGTTGAATCCTGGCCCTTCCCACTTAACAGTGTGACTGCGATCAAGTTCTTCACTTGCAGTAGGGATGGCGATTTTGAGGAGTTCGTGGACTACAGAAGAATGCAAAGCTTACAGTCAGGAGCCTGTCACAGGACTCTAGAACAGTAATCTACTATTGCTCCTTACGACTGCGCGCAAAATACAGGTAAAACTGTAAATAACACATCACCGAAATGGCCCTAAATTCTTGCCAGAAAACTTTGCTAATCCCCTGAAGGCTGGCAAGCTCTGACAAGCCCCAAGTTGCTGCACCTTTGACTCAGGCCAGGTGAGGGCGGGGCTCTAGCCCAAGAGGCGGAGCTCGGTGGACGAGTTACGCTAAGCGCAAGGGGTGGAACTTTCGTGAGCCGGTCACGTGAACCGCTGTTGACAGTTCCGGGTGGGACGAGAGTGGGGAGGCGGACTGGTTAGGGTGCTGGGGAGCAGGCATGGCGTACCACGGCCTTACCGTGCCTCTGATCGTGATGAGCGTGTTCTGGGGCTTCGTGGGCCTCCTCGTGCCCTGGTTTATCCCCAAGGGTCCGAACCGGGGGTAAGTGCGCCAGGCCGGAGGCGGTGGGAGCGGAGGGAAGGCTCGCGCGTGGAGGACCATGGCGGGAGGATGAGGCGGGGTGGGCCACAGAGGGGAGGACCGCGTGCGCTCCTGGGAACCTGTCAGTGTCCCTGGCCGGAACGTGAGGTCACCTCTGGCAACCCCTCCCGGAAGTGAATTTTAGGGAATGCTTTTTGTCTTGATCGACCAGAGGCGCGCACATCGACTGAGAAGTTAGGGTGCTTCCCGAGCCGCTCTCACTGCTTTGGTCCTGTCTTTCGCCTGCTGGAGGCTTTTGCCCAAACTTGAAAGAGAGGGATCTAAGAGAACAGAAATCGCCCTCTCCGTCCCGATGCTGTCGCAGTTGCAGACTCTGACAAGCTTGCTGCATAGTGTTGAGCTCAGCCTTTGCGGCTAGGGGCCCAACCCAGGAGAGGGTGAGCCTGATCTAAGCGAGGTTAAATCACCCAGAGCCGAAGGGACTGTTTAGAAACCTCTGCGTCATACCTTGCAGGGCGGCCCTGCCCTTGCTTGTATTTACAGTGGATAGATTTACATCTCCCCACCCCAAGGTTTTACTAAATACCGCATCCTCTGTTAGGAGATAAACTTTTGTGTTGCAGTGTAAAACAGACCACTTCAGAGGAGCCTGGGACACCCTCTTTCTAGTTCCTCTTTTGAATTTTAATCATTTTTTCCCCCTCTCAACTCAAGATCATGTGGAGGTGACACTTGTACTGAAGTCGTAGTTTGTCAGAAACGTCTCTTGCTTTAGGTTAGACACTAAGTCATGGCTTCCTCCTGCTTAGCTCCACAGCATTTTGTAGAGACAATGTATATTGAGTGAGACATTTTGATTAGAGGAAGTTTTACTGTGCTTTGTGACATTGGTTTCTATTGCAGTCTGGAATATACTGACTTTTCAAAATAAATATTCTATTAGCCTAAAAACCACTTTTTACGATTTATTTGTTATTTATCTTACGTGTATAGGAGTTTGGCTACATGTATGTAAGGGCACAGAGAGCTTTGGATCCTTGGAATTGGAGTTACAGATGGTTATGAGCTGCCACGTGGGTGCTGGGGCTTGGACCCAGGTCTTCTAGAAGCGCAAGGGCTCTTAACCAAAGCTCTTAACCAAAGAACCACCTCTCGACTTCTTAAAGGGAAATGATAGGTCAATTTCAATCATTTGTAAGCATCAAGTCTCACCTATTGCTAACAGTTCTGCAGGATCATCTTCAGTTTATACAGTTGATGTGTCATCAGAATTCAGTTATTAAAATATAACTGTATTAACTGAATTCATGTAGACCTTTTTCCTCTCTGGGTTAAAGACAACAAAATGCTTCTGGTGTGTTTATACCAAGCCTGTTTCTTTCCACCACTGTCTCTTTCTGGCCTTCACCTCCAGAAAAGCTCTAATTAATGTGAGTTGGGTCTCTCCTTTCTTAAAACAGCTCCTCTCCCCATCCTTGGCATCAGGTACCACTCCAGTCATTCAGGGTAATGAAAGCCCTGTTGCTTAGAGTCAGATTCTGTTTGATCTGCAGTGACATAGCATCTGGCCCATTCGCAGCCTCCACTGCAATCCTAATGTTCTCTGCTCTTGGCAGGATTGAGCTGGTCTTGAAATGGAACCTCCTAGGAGTTACAAGCTTACATTTTGGGAAACACTGCTCCAAGGTGATTGAACACTGTGACCTTGAAAGATTTAGTTAGCTTTTCCATGTTCCTTTTTTTTTTTTAAACTGAAACAGACATTTTAGGGTTAATTAATGCCAGTTCCCTTTAACCTTCCCCTCCCCAAAAGATTATAAATAAAAAAAAAATTTTTTTGAAATGATGTAGAACTTGCCTGTTTAATGAACTCTGATGATTTTTTTTTCTCTGTGTGTGGTGGGGGGTCAGGGAGAGGATTGCTGAGGAGTGAACCCAGAGCCTCCCACCTTCTAGACAAGCCCTCTCTATCACTGAGCTATATCCCCAGCCACCTAGCCGAATTGAATATTTAGTAGAGGAAAGCATTTTTGATTTGAGGGGTTCAAACATTTCCATTAAGGAAATAAGGGACTGTGTAAGAAGAGAGTGAAACACAGAACTTCTATGTTGAATCCTTCCCCTAAGAGACAGTGTTTTGAAAATGACGTGGCTAGGAGGTTATTAGGACCTGATGAGACAGCAAGAATGTGGCTGGAGGTGAAGGGCCCTTCTGAATGTGTGGGTAGCAGGCCACCAGCGCCTTGCTCCTCTTCAGATTTTTCCTTCTGTGGGACACGGCAGGACAGAGCCCAGTCTTTTCCTGCAGTCACCTGTCCTGATCATGTCTGTCCTTCATGATCCCCCTCTTTTCCCTTTTGGGAACTCACAGATTTGCCAAAAGCTTCAAGCTTTTGGGTTATGTCAGCTCCAGTTTTTTGGTTTTTTGTTTTTTTCATAAACATTTTGGAGCATGTAGAATGTAGACAGTCACATATGAGGGGCTAGCTGGTAGCCTTCGTGGGTAAAGGTGCTCTCTGCCATGTCTGACCACCCCACAAATTGTCCTCTGATCTCTCCCTGCATACCGTGTCATGTTAAGACCATTTAGTACTCTTCCAGAAGACCTGAGTTTAATTCCCAGTACCCACGTGAGGCGGCTCAAAACTGCTACTAGTAACTCCGGCTCTAGAGAATCCAACTTGCTCTTCTGGCCTCAGTGGGCACCTACACTCATGTGCACATACAAAATTAAAAATAAAATAATTCTTTTTTGTTTTATTTTTTTGAGATGGGTTTTCTCTATGTAGCTGTCCTGAAACTCACTCTGTAGACCAGGCTGGCCTTAAACTCAGAGATCTGCCTGCCTCTGTCTCCAGAATGCTAGGACTGAAGGCATGTGCCACCACTGTCCAGCTTAAAATAATTCTTTTTTAAAACATCATACCCCAAGGCCATAAGTCATAGTAGATTTATACGTGTTTGCTTTATGAGTGCATGTGAATGTGTGTATATAGGTGTTTAAAGTTTTGCTAAGACATTTGAAAATAAATTGCTGCTTATTGACTCCACTCCTGCAGCTGCTTCAGAGCAGTTGTTTTAAGGGGAGCGCTTTCCTGTGGTAGCCGAAATTAAGTGTGTAATACAAAGGCTTCTCATCTGTTTCTGCTGGGATACTTTTTGGGAAAGAGAGAAGACAGAAGAGATTCTAAGCTAGGCTCGGAAACAGGAGAAGACGAACAGAAACCTGGGAACTGAGACTCAGACGTGTGTGTGTGTGTGTGTGTGTGTGTGTGTGTGTGTGTGTGTGTGTG